TTTTTGAAGTCATGATATGTAAATTAAAAATTGTTATTTTACGGTGATAATCTTGTTTTCTTGTGCCCAATAATGCATAATTTCATTTGATAAACACGTTTAGATTGAATGGAAATTTATAATCAGTCACAAGAACGTCGAATCTGAATCACTTGAAAAAAACACGGGGGTGCTTAACTTTTTTCCAGGTGTATATATGTATATTAAAGAATATAGTTAAGCAATTATAAAACAGAAACATAACACAATGTGAAAAACAGTATATTTGCATTTTACTTAACACTCAAGTAGCCCCGAAGTTGGTAGTGGGTTGTGATAGCTGACTGCTTTTTTCTAGTTGGCAGTTCAAAATTAGGAACAGTGACAGGTAGCATTGGTAACTTTACCATAATTCAATAACAAAAAATAAACATAATACCCCCTCAGCTGAAATGGTGGACATTTTGGTGGCAAAAGGACTCAATCCATGGTTCACTCGAATTACAAGGCAACCTAACTAATCGCAAGACCATGCTGGACCAAAGCTGGATAAACTTGAAGTAATTGAAAAAATAATAATGATAAGTATTTTTGATCACTTTGAGAGTTTCAATAATCAAAAACAGTAATAACCAGAAACCCTACATTTTGATTAGCTAATTGTAAAGGCAATATTTCAATTACTTGGGTAGTTGGACTAATCAAAAACAATATTAAACAAGACTACTGATTTTTATTAGTTAGCTAGGCCACATTTCTTTTTTTCAACTTGGGGCATGATGGTGTGTAAAATAAAATATGTGGCCTAGCTAACTAATGAAAGAATATTTGGTGTAAAATTCTTATCAATGCTATAAGTGTAGCTACTGCCAATTTTGAAGTTACACACTCAATCCTTTATTTGGCAACACCTTATTTTCACACCTAAGGTGTTTTTGATTAGACATCATGATTTTTTGTCAATACACACCAACAAACCACAGCAAGTAAGAAAGTCACACTCGATAGAAACCAACAATAGATTGCAACTCTATTATGCGGAACAGACCTATACTTTACAGAACCCACCAGGTTCTTTAAAATATATAGCAGTATTTTTCCTCTCTAAAATAGTATTAATAACTTCCTTTATGGTAATACTTTAGAAACTAGATTAACAGTTTCTTGTCATTATCCACATGCACTGGGTAAAACTGTATCAAGCATCATTATTTAAGCTAATATCATGTGATGCTAAACATTCTTTAATTTAGCAAATGTGTGTTTTAAAGTTGGCAATTAATTATGAATAATAACTGCCCACCCATATGATTCTTTTGAAAACTTGAACTAGAAACTGCTAATCTAGTTTACTTGGCCTAACCAATACTTATCTATCTGCATGTCCTTTCACCCTATACTTTTGCTGTTCTGAATCAGCCGTCTTTAATCTAAATGACAAAAATGGTTCACCTTTACTCTTAGCTGAAGCTGCAGTAAAAATTTCTGACCAATAGCTCATATAAGTTTTTGCATAGCTGTGCACAAAATTTAGGTCAAAATTGAGAGGTGTTTGTTGAATAACTTTGCACACATGGCTTATATTTAGGCCAAATTTGACACCTAATTGTAGGTTATAAAGATCTACCAGTATTTCAAATTTCAAAACAATTTATGGAAGTACGTTCTTCTATCAAATAATGTTTCCATACTTTATCTGCGAAGAAAAAAGAAATGAAGAAATTCAATCAAATCTTGGAAAAGCTTAAATGAAACCTTAACATCATTGGCTGAAATTGTAGGGTAATTTTTTCAAATTACTATTATTAATCAAATGTACCAACACTGTAATTATAGTATTTTGGCACTTGTGTATAAAGTTAAAATCATAAATAATATTCAATGTTAAACTGGTACAC